TCCACTTATCAATTTATCCATTAATCTTTGAAATATTCCTGGTGCTGATTTCACTCCAAACGGCAATCTTTGCACTTCAAACAATCCTTTGTGTGTATTAATACACGCCACTTTTTTAGATTGCTCGTCTAACTCAATTTGTAAATAGGCATCTCTGAGATCCAATTGCGAAAACACTTTACTTCCATGGATCTCAGCCCATATTTCACTAGGCTTTGGCAAAGGATGCCTATCCAATTCAATTGCATTATTCAACCCGGTTGAATAATCCATACACACTCTTGTTTTGCCATTTGCCTTTTTAATAGCTAAAATGGGCGCTGCCCAGTTAGCAAATTCAATTGGCTTAATAGCTCCAATTTCACTCAATCTGTTTAACTCTTTTTCAATTGCGTCTTTAACGCCAATAGGTACTGGTCTAGCCCGTACAAATACTGGACTCACTCCTGGCTTCATATACAAATGAGCCTTCATTTTTGTACAATGGCCTAAGCCTGGCTCAAACACTTTCTTAAACTGCACTGACAATTTGTTTACTATTTCACTAATTTTACTTTGTGTCTTTTCAATTTCTAACACTTTAATAGGCTCTTCACTCTTTTTAATACTAGACACTATTGGATATCCCAATTTATTCTCAACTTCAATTATCCATGGTAGGCCAAACAAATTCAATTTTTCACTTGTGACGTGTGTCACCAATACTTGTTTACTATCGTCTACTTCGACACTCGCCAAAAAACTGCCCAACATACTAAACTCGTTTCCTGTGAAACTTCTACCCTTGCAGGGCACTCCAGTGAGCTTTGGGCTACCAATATTCTTCATGTCACTTCACTTATACAACTGATTTGAGCCCCTGAATCCAAAATGAATTCCACTTCGTTTCCGTTCACTAACACTTTTTTTGTTAACCATTTAGGTTTCACACTCATACTCACATGGAGAATATCAACACTGTTCTTTACATTACACTCATGGTTCTCCCACCATGTTTTTACTTTACTAATTAGGGCCATTTTTCTTTATGTAGCTGTTGCCGAACTTTTCTTTTGTAGCTGTTGGCGAACTTTCCTTTATCGAAGTAGACGAAACTGGTTTGCGACCGCGCCAAATCTGTTACGACCCCGGTTACGTAGAGAAGCTAACAGAAACGTTTATTGCACAAGAAATACAAAGCAGGCGAAGGTTGGGGTAGGAAGAAGAACTAAAACTGAGACGACGAACTAACTATTGGCTGGGCTTTTATACTAACACTTTAAGGGCTGACGCCCATACACAACATGAAGCATATTTACAGTTGATGCTAAAGAAGATAAATTATCCAAAAATCGACCATGCAAATTTAAAAATGGCAAAAAAAATAAAATAACATAGTAAATAATTTAATGAAATAAATAATTTATTTCAATTAATTAAATACTAAATTGAAATTAAAGTTATAATCGAAGATGCTTAAACAGAAATGCTTAAGTATAAAACCAGAAATACTTAAAATGTAATTTGAATTTTGAAATTAAAAGTAATTTCAATTCAATTTTCACTGTAAGTTTCACTTCAAGTTTCCTTTCGAATTTTTGATTTAAAATCTAAACTTTGTATAAAATTTGTATTTCATATAAAAAATTAATATTTATCCTTTTAAAATATACACATGATGCGAAAATTAGATATCAATAAGTATTGTATATTATTAAATAAATAAATACTAAATTTAAAATTAAACATAAGATAGGATAGACTTTAAAATGGTGCTCCCAAGCAGTAATATACATTTAAATTTATAAAATTAATAAAATAAAAATTTTTCTGTCCAATATTAGAGGAAAAGGAAATTTTAGCAGTATATTTTAATAAAAAATTATATCTACGTGTATTTTCCTATATTCTTGTTATTTGTTTATCACAGTCGAAGGTGAAATTCTCAATTTGTACAAGGAAATAAATTTTACAATTTTTCTAAAATTTTTTTTAATTACAAGAAGGGTATAGCCTTTTAATAATATTGAGACTTTTAATAATTCACATATTAAAGAATAATTTTTGAAAAAATGAAAAAAATCTATGAAATTTATTCGAGAAAATTAACACGTAGTTAGAGAACCTAAAAATTAAAAACTCCTAAAGAAATGCTGAAGCAAGTAAAATTCCGAGAAGCGAACGTTTTTCTGTTTATTCTTATCTTGTGGTAAAAAAAAGTAAAAATAAAAATACAATTTAAAATAATGAACAAAATATTTCTCAAATGTAAAAGATATTAATTATAAGAATGAATATTAATTTAAAAAATAAATTATTTGAATTTTTAAATACATAACAACAAAATATGTATTTTGAAATTAGTTAATTAATTAAAGAATATTATTATTAAAAAATATGCTATAACCGCAATGAAATCTACCGGTCACAAAACTCATCGAGGAGAACGATAAAACTGGGAATAAAAAAATTAAAAGAGGATTGAATTTATTTGCATGTTTAAAACATATGAGTTGAAAAATTTAAAAGTAAAATCAACCAATTTTTAAATAAAAAAATTTTTTTCTAGAGTAAAGTTAAAAATTTTTGGCTTTAATAACCAAAAGTGAATTAATATGATGAAATGGTAATTTTTAATTTTGGTATACAACTTTATTTATTAATAAGATTATTATAATAAAATTATCAATAAAATTATTAATAACATTTATTAATAAAATTAAAAATATAATTCGAAAATTTTTTCATTTAAATACATTATATTATACATAGTTATTGAATTTTAAAATTTTTGAAATGAACGAATTAGAGTAAATAAAATTGAAATGCGAGCAATCGTCGGTCAATAGACAATTGCTATGTAGAAAAATATACCCTCACGGCTTTAGAACATCTCGAAATACGCGAAATATTTAGTGATGTTGATATGGTCTAATGATATTGTCTATATATGGTCTATAATACGTAATGATTATTACATTACTATTTAATAATACTTATTCATAAAACGTGGTATAAAAAAGGAATAGATGATGTAACAATTAAACAATTAAGCACTCATAATTGATCATTTATGTTAAAAGATAGTAAAAAGAATAAGTTAAACAATAATAATAATAATGCGGTAAAATTAAAAGAATTGAGACAACTAGAAAACTTTTTTAAAATGCAAAAAATGAATTTAAAAACTACTCAAGAATGTAAACAAGAAATTAAAGATAAAATTTATAATAAAACCTTTAATCATGAAAATTCTACTGTTATAGGAAATATTTCAGCAAAAATATATAATGTCGAAAAGTAGGTTAAATTAATTATGAAGATCTAACCGAAATATTAAAATATTTAAATAAAATACATTTGAATAATTTCATTTCTCATTTAATATACTTAATAATTAAATAATTTGAAGTTATTTTAAGATAGTGACGTATATTTAATTTAATATAATTTTTCTACATTTTTTCACGTTTATTAATATTAAAAAAACTTTGCAATTTTAAAATCAAAATAAAATTTTTGGAGGAAACATTATTTAACCCATATTTCCCAGCCCTGGATTCGAACCCAGCCCCATAAAATATCAAAATGAGTGAAGTTACTCAACCTAACCACTCAACATCGCTCAGCAATATTAAAAACTTTGCAATTTTAAAAAACTTGGGAAATTTACCCGAGTCGGGATTGGGATACCCGAACATCACTAGTATTTATGCAAAAGAGAGAGAAAGTAAAAAGCAGGGACCAAAGTAATTATGAGATACATACATAGTATGAGAATGATTTTATTATAATAGAAAGTATTTAATTTTAATTTTTCTAAAAAATTATCAGCTAAACAAATAAATTTAGTAAAAGATATTAGAAAATTAAATACCCAACTTTTATTTTTAAGCCATGGTTCAATTTTGTGAGCCACCAACTTTTCAGATTAGAACCTTGCTCTGCGTATCAATACTTCAATAATGTCAATAGATTCACGGTATCTCCAAAAAATTGGGGTAATTCTTTGGTTTAGACCCCCACCATTTTTTTGAATCCCTGACCATTTTGAGCATATCGTTCGAAAGAGTTCTTCGAGCTGTATAGAATAATACAATATCGGGAAGATTTGATAATACTTAACAAAATTAAGTGGATCCTCTCTGTGAAAGCTTTTTGCTTTTTGTTCCTCTGCAAGGGATCAAAACAAGTGATCATAACTTTGTTCATTTATTCAGAGTTCGTTTATTTTATATATATTCGACTCAGCTCGAAAAGCTCTTTCGAATTATATATATATAATTAGCCATAACAAGATAATAGATGCCACAAAGGGATTCAGGAAATGGTTGGTGTCTAAACCAAAGAATTACCACAATTTTTTGGAAATACCGTGAATCTATTGACATTATTGAAGTATTGGTACGCAGAGATGGTTCTAATCTAAAACGTTGGTGGCTCACAAAATATGGCTTAAAAATAAAAGTTGGGTATTTAATTTTCTAATATCTTTTACTAAATTTATTTGTTTAGCTGATAATTTTTTAGAAAATTAAATACTTTCTATTAAAATAAAATCATTCTCATATATACAGTCATGGAAAAAAGATAGACTCAAGATAGATTTATTAACTTTTGTTCGGCCAAAAATTCTATAAAATTTCTGCCAACATTTCCATCAACACTGAGTAGATTTTTTTACATTTTAATTTTTACTCATAATTTTTTATATTTTAATATGTCAACAATTTTGCCTTAAAGATAATTTAAAAAATAATAGTTTTTAAATATGTTATTATTTTACATTGTCTCTAAATTGCTTTTAAAAAATATTTTTAATTGAAGGATTAAAATAAAAATCTCTAGCGTCCACATTAAATATTAATATTTTTGAAGAATAAAGCCATTATAGGCAGGTTACCCAACAATATTTACTTAAAAATGCCCCTATTTTGTCAATATAATTAAGCATAGTCACATTACTTTTCGGTTATTTACATTTTATTTTTATCTAGAAAAATACCAATTTAATTTTAAAAATGGAAAGAAATTTGATTAAAAAATGTTCAGTTTGTGAGTGTAGAGAATATGTTTGTTTTCATTATGGAGTTAGTACATGTAGGGCTTGTGGGGCTTTTTTCAGGTATTTTTTATTTTGTTTAATTTGGAAAAATTCTTCTAAAAAAGGCGTTATCTTGAAAACGAAAAAAAGAGTAAATATAGTAAATGTAATTGTTTGCATAAACAATTGTTGTTGCTAAAAGAGAAGAAAATTGAAAGAAATTGGGAAAAATGTAAAAAATGTAGACTTGATAAATGTTTTTCTGTTGGAATGAAAAAATTGGGTTTGTCAAATAATATTTAAAAATAATTTGAAAAGAATTTTATGTAGATGTCGGATATCTACGCCGAGATATATGCCGGGAAGTAATGGAAGTACAAAGAAATGAAATTAACGTATAAATTTATTTTTGATAGGGAAAAGTGGTAAAAAAGTATCGAAAATCCATTGCCGGGAAGCAATGGAAGTGTCGAATGACCCTGGACAACTCTACCAAAAATGGATTTTTCTTACGCTTTTTAAAATCCAGACATATCAATCCCTGAACCCTTCAAATAATTTAATTAAAATGCAAATACAGTTGCAATAGAAAAAAAGATTGGTTGTGTCAATAGAGTTGAGCTGGAACGGGATCCCGGTCGGGATCGGGCGTGATTATTCCGGGTTTTTTGGATCTCGATCCTGCTCAAATTTAGTGTCCATAACCAACGGAAAACCATGGTCAATGCCATGTAAAAGATATCTTCCATACATTATAGGATGTATAAATTCTGATTTTATAATTTTCTGAAAGCCCTTATTTCTCTTAAACTTTAAAAAGCTCTTTTTCATTAACAAAAGTAAAAGTAAAATTAGTAATAAGGCTAAGGGCTTTGTTCAAACCCGATTAAACAAACCTAAACTGTGCAAGAGGTCTTAAATGGATCTAAACTGCTCTCTACTTTTTAAGCCTTCAAATCCTCCAATTGTTGACACAACAATCAAAGATCAAAAACTGATAAGCTCAATTTTACCAATAATTGAAGCCAAAAAACGTATTATGCATGCATTTAATGATTTAGATGATATATTCCTTAAAGGCCCGATTTTGTTTGAAGAAATAATTTTATCTAATTTTAATATTTTTCGTTTAGTTGATAATTTTTCGGTAAATTTTAATTTAATTTTTAATTAAAATTTTGATTTAAAGCCAAATCCAATCCCAATACCTTTTAATGAATTAAAAAGTTGGGAATCTTCAATACAAAATGAAGGAATATTTAATAGTAGATGTCAAAAAGCTATTCTTGTTGACAGACTTTTGCTGGTTGGTATAGCTAAATCTATGCCTGTTTTTGAAAAATTGACTTTATCTGATCAGGTATATATAATCTATATGACCTCTAATATTCCCTTTTAATCCCTTAAAATCCAATTATATAACTCAATATTTAACGATATCCTTCTTGATCCATCGATGCCCCTATAAGTCCCCTGATATTCCCTTTAATCCATCTATATTTAATCTTAAATTCTTTAAATCGACCCACACCATTCGAGTTCTAATGTAAAGCAAATTGCTTCAAGCTTAATGATCCTTATAAAATTATACATACAACATACCTATAATATAATATTTTTCTATTATTATAAAATAGATTGCACTTCTAAGGCATATTTCTTATGTGTTTATATCATTTACTGGCTCTTACCTAGCTTCAGAATTAGGCTCTGAAACATGGACACGTAAAGATAATGTTATGCCAGCTCTCGGTGTTATAAAGAATGATGTATTTCTACATGATCATCGGTTAATCTAAAAATTATTATAAATATTTTTTTAATTTTTAGAATGATTAAATGGTCAGATTATGTATATACAAAATCTGTTGCTCACTTCAAAAGTTTAGTGTTAACAAAAATTGAATATGCTTTATTGTTAGCTATTATTCTTACGAAAGCGGGTAAAAATTTATTTGTAGAGGCGAACTCAAAATTGACTTGCCCGGTTATAGTTCAAATCAGGGCTCGATCTCTGTCCCGAGGAAGGGAATTACCCGGGGAACGGAGGGAGGTCTCCACCCCCCCCCTTCCAGAACCACCGTTCTCCGTCTCGGATGTTCGAATTCATTCGCAACCCCCATTCCCCAAACCCGAATTTCACGTACGATTAGCCCCCGCCCCGAAAGGTCGAACCCTGGTTTAATCAGGGCTCGGGTCTAGAATTTTTAAAAATCTGCAATTTTGCGCTATTTTTTCACACTTTCATACTCACATTTTTTTACAAAAAGATTCTAAAGACTTGTCTGCTGAAGGAAAGGAATTACTTTTAAACGACTCTAATAAATACACAAACATTTTACTTCGATATAATCAACGAAGATTAGGTTTAATTGAAGGGGCTCATAGATTGGCCGAATGTAGTCGATTAATTAGTCGTTGTATTGAAAATGAATATGCTTTAAAGTTAATGCTCTCTCATCAACGTAAATATTATTCAATGGATTTAACTTACCATAAATCATCAGACTTTCTTGAAAAAGCATTGAATAAAAGTGATTAAATATTATCTTTGAAAATTTTTTCTTTAAATTTATTTGTAAAATACTTTCCTCTTTCTTAGTAAAACTATTTTACCTTCCTATTCTTTAATAAGGAATTAAAAATATCTCAGAATTAATTATTCCCGCAGAATAATTAACCTAGATAAACAAATAAACACAACAACACAACTAAAATCTTTATCTCCAAAGATATTTACAAAGAAATGAATGATCGCAAAGAACATTGAAAAGTAAAATTTCTGCCTGTCTTTTATAGGCAGAAATAACAATAATAAAAATTAGGGTAGCACGAGACCGTTTAATTCGAGGTTTATTTTTCCCTGTGGCGGACTTTTTCCTTCTCTCTTCTCTTTTTGACCCGCCACGGGGAACAATAAACGAGGTTTCTAAACGGTCTCTTGCTACCCTAATAAAAATGATGCAATGTAAAGTACATTGCAAAAAATACACAAAAAATTGTCAAAAACGGAAAGTGACTCACTGAGTCACCACACAAAAATAAATAAAATTCCTCAAAAAATATCAAAAAATAATAAATCTATAAATCTTCAATTTCGTCAACGACATTATTTTAAAATTATTTACAATATTTTCTAAATTAGTAAATTCCCCTTGAATTAGAACTACCCTTACAATAATACTCCCCTTTGAAGCAGGGTTGAAAAATCGAAAAGAAAAAAACTGAAACTAAAAAAAACTCTCCAGTTAATGTTTAAAACAAATTAAATTTCCAATATTTATTAAATTTAAATTAAAATCAATTTTTTTAATTGCAAGACGCTATTTCCATTTATTTGCTTGCCATTGTCTAAATTACAATGGCAATGAAGAAAAATCGAAGGTCATGCCTTCTGATTGGCAATTAAATTATTAAATTTTACTTCCTCCTTTTCCTTCCTCGTTAAATGGAAATAATTAAAAAATAAAATTCTATTTGTAAATTAATAAAAATTTATAAAGAAAATTTTTTAAATTAATTTTATTTAAATAATATTTTTAATAAATTATTTTACTGTTATGATTAGCGATTAGCACGTAAGGATTCCCGCTTGGGACACGCTTGTCGATCTAAACAACAAAAAATCCTTGGTTTTGAGGGACAAGCGTGATTATCGGAATTATGGTTTATAAGGTTTAGTCCCGCGGGAAACTCAGTTCCGTTACAGAATTTCTCGATTTCGCCATTTCTGATTTTAAAAGATTTTAAAAGTTAAAGTGAAAGCAGCTGAGCGAAAGTGCAGTCAAAAAATGCCTCGAGTTTCTAAGATGCATAAACCCCCTCTCTTACTTTACATATTAATGTAAAGTAAGAGATAACCTTCTCTTAATAAAGTTGGCGAATCCGGATCCGAAAAAGGCCGGATATCCAGTAATTTTTGGCTCGGATATCGTATCAGGATATCCGAAGCTTTCCAACTACCCGCCAACCTTATCTCTTAATTTGCATATTGAATTGAAAATTTTAGGTTTTCTCGAAAATAACATATTTTCGATGAATATTTTTATATTTTTATTAATTTTTTTCAACATATACACCCTTAATGCGACTAGTGTTATTGCTGTTGAAAATGATTTTAACAAAACACCTATGAAAAAAGTTTATACAAATTTAAAGAAAGGAACATCATGTAAAACCAACGCAAGGATAATACATTCGATTAAAACTTTAAGGGAAATTAAATCACCCGAAAGAAAAACTCGTCATAAAATTAAAAGACAAAATAAAGATCAAAAGTATCAACGATCAACTTTGGGAAAAGATCAGAATATTTCAAAAAATAATTTAAAAAAAGATCAAATAAGCCTGGAAGAATTAAGAAAAAGACTTGCTGACCTGCAAACAAATTCTCCAAAACTTTGTTTTAAAAAACAACCAATTCCTTGTGGTTTGTTAATTTATTAAAACTTTATTTCTGTGAATTTAGCTTGTTTAGGTGGTAAAGCCTAAACTGGTTGCGGTGGTAAAGCAAGACAAGGCCAATAGTTTCTTATGTTTTCGAATCCGAGATGGAGCTCAATTCTCTTAATAGGGGGTCATTGTCTTAATTTTATTTTGTAAAAATGATTATCAAACTTCTTCCATTTAGTTTTAAAATTCTTCCACCGGATTTGAGCAAGACAAGACGTCATACCCCATAAAATTCGGCTGCATCTCTAGTTATACCAACATTAACTAATAGCGCTAATTAAAAATTAAATTTTTAGCATTTCCACAAGACAAAATAGAAGAAATATTTACTTCGATTAAAAAAGAAAATGAAAATATTGCTCAAGATTTTGATATTTATTTCAAAATTTTATGCACTACTGAAACAAATTCTAACAATTTTATTGGTTTAGTATATAATTTATTGGAAAATAAAACTGAAAAAAGGAATTTGATAATTAAATTGAAGAATTTTAACGAAAAAGTGAAGGAAAATAGTTCCAAACAAGCTGATCAAGAAGAAAAAATTAAAAAATTAATAGATCAATTTACTATATATAAAGACGCTGATATTAAGAATGCAAGCAAGGAGTTTAACAAAACTCTTGATAATTTGGTTTTTAATTTAAATTAAATATTTTAATAAAAAAAAGAACACCCAACTTAATCTCATAATTTCCATGAGAGGTGAGAGCCTCAAAGGCAAAAAATTGGAATAAGGCTTGGCCTTAATTTAAATTTAGATTTGTTATCCATTACATTAAGCGTACAGCTAGCCTAATGTACCGTTGACTATAACTTTGTTCAACATTGTCGAATCCGTGGCGCCCTGGTATGGTTCGATGCGGCTCGACCAGCTGAATCAAAACATAACAGGGCGCCCTCAGGACATAAATAACTATATGCTTAAGACATGCTTCATTGGTAAGCATTTGAAGAAACTGAACATGTTCAAAAACAGTTTAAACATAATACTATTATAAATCAACAAAAGTTTAATAAGTTTTTCTTGAATCATTCAAAATCTAGTATGAATCATATCAAATTGAATAAAGCTTACTCCTCCCTAAGAATTTACAATTTCCCGCTCTTCTAATTTATTTAGTATATAATTTTATTAATAAAATAATAATCAAACAAAATTCCATTTTAAGAAAGCGAAAAAAGATTTTGAGACAGTTACAAAATTTCTACATATACTTCACTTTTGTGCTACGTTAAAGCACTCATTTGGAGGAAAACTACAAAAGTTATATCCATTTTGTCTTTATTATGTATTGCCAAAGTCAAGAGATGTTTTAAATTCAGCTGGAATAGAATTCAAATTTGGGGCGTTTGAAATTAAGATAAACACAAAAAGTGAAAATGATATTAAATTAGAAGATTGGTTAGTAGAAGAAAAGTCTGAAGAGAAGAATGAAAACCCCAAATGGAAACCAAATCCCGAATTAAATGTGATTGAAGAAGAAACAAAAATGAAGAAAATTAAAATGAAAAAATTAAAAAATCAAAAACTCCTTCAAAAATTTTTAAACTTTAAAAATTAAACGTTTATTTTTATTATGTATGGGGATCGGAGTTGTATTGAAATATTTTTTTTCCTGAATATATTATCTCGAGAAAAGCCCAAATATGCCATCAGTTTTTTGATACTATGATTTTGAACGAAGTTATATTTCAATATTTTGCAGATTTCCCGGTTATTTCAATATGTATTTAGCCCTTTTTTCAAATTATTTCAATATTTTTGCATATGTATTTTTACCAAAAGTTTGGGAAAAAATCCCATCCAGAATTTTTTCTCTAAAGCCCGATACCACTGAACTCTAGTACATATTAGCTACACTATTTCAATCTTATTCGAAAATTATTTTTCATTTTATAATTTTTAGATTTGTATAAATATTTTAGTTGTAGATTTACTTTCTTACGGTAATTTTTATGTGCCTGCCCAGACCTGGTCATGGATACGGATACAGATAATACCAAAATGCCTGCGGATATCCATCTGAATCCGCCGTAAATATACGGATACGGATACCAAAATCGTGTGCCTGTCAAGCAGTCTATTCCATGTTTCTTGCATCTCATAGACATGCAACAATTTAATTACCCGTTTATCAGAATTTACAAAAACTCATCCCAGTAATTCTATCAAAATCACCCCTTGGGAAATCCGAAACTAATATTTATTTATTATTTTACTCAAGCTTTTCCTGTTATTTTTCCCCATCCTTCTCACTTTTCTCACACTTAAACAATTTTTTTATCATTTCCGCGGCTCTTTTTTTAAAAAAAGCTCAATTGAATTAGTTAAGTCCCAAAAGGGAAATGTTTTCAAAGAAAGGAAAGGAAGGGAATCGAGTACACACACACACAACTGTTTTTGCCTTTATTGTTGTTCTTTTTTTCACGCCTTTTTTTACTGCCTTTGGCACTTGGCATATCCGCGCTAAAATAAAATCTGACAGTGTAAGAGGGCATTAAACAGACATTTTTATTTGTAGTATTTTGTTTTAAAAAGAGGGGAAAAGGGGTAAATATAAAACTGTTTATTCAGACTTTTAATTAAATATTTATTTTAATTATTTTCTCGACTATTCGACATTTGAGGACAAAACATTTTGGAATAACTTTTTTTTGAAAGAATTTAAAATGATATTTTTAATTTCAGAAAATAAATTTCAAAATAAACTCGATATAAACAAAAAATTATCAGAATTGGACAATTTAAAAAAAAGTTATGGTCATCCATGTTTCCAGCCGACTTCCTAAGCTTTTAGGAGGAGATAACTTTACTTCATTGCCATAATTACCGTATTTCCTCTAAAATAAGCCCGGGGCCTATTTTTTCGATTAACCTCTAGAGGGGGCTATTTTAGAGGGGGTGGGGGTATTTTAGAGGAAATACGGTATGTTAGTTACCCGGTACCTAAACCTTTGCATGACTCTTTATCAATTCGACGAGATTGATAGCTACATATTTATTTGGCATATCCTTTCATTAAAGTTTTTTCATATCCTTTCATTCCTTTCATTAACAGCAAAAAAGAGTTTAAAAACTTGAAAACAACAACAAAATGTCTCCATTAAACACCTAAAAGCCTCCACTTAAAATCCCTTTTTCTTTTCTTTATCTTGATCGATCATTTATAAGCTCTATAAAGTTTAATCCATCTCCATTTCTTTTAATGTCCAAAAGCACTTTTTGCAGTTTAATGCTTTTTACTTCCCTCAACATTTTTTTCTTTTTTTAATACACACTCCATTTGGCTAATTTAGTCTTTTTTAAACTAATCCAAAAATTTATTTTCTCTAAAATCTAAAAAATCACAAGGCTAAAAGCCGTGCTTATATCACAAGCCAATTTTAAAAATAAAACAAATTTCAAAGTTTTAATTAGAAACACTTTGACAGGGAAGTAATTCTTCAGTCCACCGAATCCCTCAAGAACTACCGTTTATACTCTATTAATTACCCTTCCTCAAATAATTACCCCACCTCTATCAGTTACCCCCTTCAGCGAAATGTTGAAACAATAATTACTCCCTTAAAACTAGTTATAATTGGCCTTACAACCTCCATTAATTACCCTTTTCAGAGAGAGGTCGAAACAATAATTACCCAGGGTAATTAATAGAGTACATACATACGGTAGCTTCTGACCGAAAACTAATCTTTCTCGTTTAAATAAGTTAGCTCGATTTTTGAACTTAATAATATAACAATTTATTAGGCACGTGTTTCCCTTCCTAAAATAATGTCAATTTATTAGTAGCTTTTTAATACTAACTAAATTCCTTACAAATTAGTGTTTACGGAGCTCAAAGATTAACACCATTCTTTTCCCTCTGGATTTTTTATGATTAATTTAATTTATAAGGACGTTCAAGACCAAATATTTTTTAAAACTCAAGACCAATACGAAAAAAGCCTGCAAAAATAGTCCGCAAAATAAATCAGCAAAGGAAGGTCCGCAAAATTAGTCGCGAAAGACCACAAATTTACCTCTAAATTCTTCACAACTGCTTAAACAAAATTACATTTAGAATAAATGTTATTTCCATCTTTTTTATTATCCATAGTAATTATTAACCTTTCGTTAATTAACTCTCAACAACAAAAACAGAGGGCAACAACCAATCAGTCACAAAAAAGTGAAGTTAAAGTTAAGGGATCTGTGGGCGTCACAATTTTAGTAAAAAAATTTTTGAAATTTTTTTGAAAATTTTTAAATTTATTTTTTTGGGTAAAAAATGGGTTAGTAAAACAACAAGGCCTTCTAGAAACTGATGCACCTTTAACCTTGTGGTGTCAGGCAGTGGAAATATCTAATAGTAATAGAAGATCTCCTGTTGTAGCTTTGCCCGCTGAAGAAATTTGTAAATTATTAAATTTTTAAAAATAGAAATCAAAAAGTTCTTTTTCTCCTTCAGCCTCCCAGAAAAAATTATAAAATTTTCCAAAAAATCTGCAGATTTTGTCCGCAAGTTAAATTTTGTCCGCAATATGACTTGCGGACAAAATTTGCAGAGTAGATGGAAATTTTTTTATTTTTTTGATTATAAAGGAAAAGAACCAAGTTAAAAATTTAAAAAAATTTTAACAAAAAAGATTTTACACACAATGGGAAAACACATGTTGCCAACTTTAGTGAGGGAAGCAATTATAATGGAACACTTGACATCAATGAAGTTTGTTGTCTTTTTTACTCAAGTTCCTGGCATGTTTTAAATTTTTAAAGGTTTATGTTGATCATGGAGGGCAATGGACTTGTCATGTTAAAACTAAAGATCACGGACTTGTCTATGGCACAATTAATGTTTATAGTGGGTGTTTATTGAGACAATTCTGTCATTCTTATGGAAATAAAATCGTTTATGGTCGGGGATTGCTTAGGGTTAGGGTAAAACCCCAACCTTTAGGGCTGTGGTTTTCAAGTCGGGCCGACGTTCGAGTCATTTTTATCGGGTCGGAACGACAGTCTTTTTCGGGCCAAGATTCGATGCCCGACTTGATCTTTCGGACCGTGCCGGATTGTGCTCCTATTCACCTTGTCCCAAAATGACACTGGAAACAGGATTGGGATGATCATATAGAATCGAGACCGATTTCACAAAAATCTAGATTCGAGATCTCGCCTATGTCCAATCTCTAGATGCACTCTATCCCACAGATTTTTTGAAGATTAATTCAACGAGGCATACTGTAGAAATTCTCTAGTATTAATGCCTAGTTTAAAACTTGCATATGTTTTTAATTTTTTCCTTATTTCAACAGTTCGTCCAGTTGTGCTAAGCAACACACGGTTAAGAATATACGATATTCCAGAACAAAAATTTCAATTTGAAGGAAGTACTAAAACGTAATTAAGATTTAAAAAATATTTTTTAATTCATTTAAAAGTGTTGTTCGTGGCAGTGATGTTCTTTTGACTTGTCCAGTATATGGCAACCCAAAAGTTCAATTTGTATGGTTTAAAGGAGCACAAGATATTGGGGTAGTAATTACTTTTTAAAAACAAATTAATTTTTTAAAATGTCAAATACTCCCAAACAGATATTTTTAAAGTTTTTTTAAAAACTTACAAGCACAGGAAACCCTGTTAGATATTGGTAAAAGCACAATCCATAGATCCCGAAACGAGTTTCAAAAGATCAAAAGACATCCTGCGGGTAGGGTTTGCGAACCCGGATAACCGGAGATTTCTCAGGCCCTGTCAACCCTGTACGCTGAATTATTCCAAAAACCAGATCCCAAAAATTGAAAAAATCGGATTTTGAAGGGCTTTCTAAAAAATTCCGTCATGTGTCAATCTAAGCATGCCCAACCTTGTCTTCTCCGCCCGAATTTCTCAGACATCTTTCCCTGCGAAAAACTCCAAAATAGGAGTTTTTTAAATTACTTTAAAATTCTAGAAGGATGAAAGGATACACGTTGACACTAACGGCACTTTGCTAATCAAAAATGTCACTTATCTAGATCATGGCATTTATACGTGCAAAGCAGTCAACACAATTACTGACCGATTTTCAAGTGTAAATAAAAAAGTGCAATCTACTGTAAGCATAGAAAGATATCTACGAATAAAAAGTTGGTAATAATAGGGGGAAAAATTAAATTAATTTTATTATAGTTAAAGTAAATTTCCTTTAGAGGGGGAAATTAGAGGGGAAATTAAAAGATCAGGAGGGCTTTAAACCTTATTCATTTCAACCCTAAGCTGGATCCGAAGAATTTTTATGACCCATTCCGCTTTCTTCTCAAATCGGCGCCTGTTCCGGTCGGATTATTCTGAATCCAGAATTAAATATCCATCCTTGACAACTTGAACTGTTTCTTCTGTAATTTAGGCTTGTATTGGTTTGTATCACGGAGGGGGTTAAAAAATTTGGTAGAGTTCGGGCCGGGTTTTCGAAAAATTTCCTGGGTCGGGCTTCTAGTCGAAAAAAGTTCGGATCTCGGTTACCTCGTCTCTCCCCTTTTATTGGCACTCCTACTTTATGGCATCTCAAGATATTCCGGATGGAGCTTCTTTTAAATTTTGCCACCCTTAAAAGGAATATCCTCCAAAAAACTCTTAAAAGGCCCTCTTCCTTCCTTAAACTTAAAGAAATGAAATTTCAGGTGAATTCTCTTGGCTTTTACCTCTCGGTGTAATTATTTTGTTGGTATTTTTATTACTTTTTATCATTGTTTTTTGTGAAATGAGAAAAAGAAGAAAAGAACAAAAACAATTAATTAGCGTTAATAGTGGAGCTGATGATGATTAAAATTTTTTTCCTAATAATTTTTGTTTTTAAATTATATATTTTCTCGATATTTTTGAAATAAAGAAATAAAATTAAAGGTATGTCACTAATATTTATTTCTCATTTTAAATACAATTCACATTTTAATAATAAAAATAGGGAAAACTAGCTGACTAACTGGGGATACAATTTATTATAAGTTGTCGCAAAAAGCGACATGATTCACTTATAAGGTCTGATAAGGGTATATTTCACTGATAACTTATCAGAATTTTTGTCCACGCAAAAATTATCCACAAGAAAATTCACAAATATATTGGGTCTGATAAGCCCAAGGTCGTAGGTTCGTTCCCTACTAGCGGCACCACTTTTGTTGACAAATTCAACAAAATGTAAAAAAGTTTAAATTAAAATTTAAACTAAGTTTTTCCACTTTCAAATTCACAAACAAAAACAAGTACTTTTTATTTCTTTACAATAGAAATAACAAAGGAGATTGAAAAAAATCTGGTTTTTGAGAAATAGTTCATGGTTTAAATACAGAACAAAGTGGGCGGGAAAAGTAAAAATTTTAAATATATATTATTCAGTGACTCATGAGAAAGTACAAAAAAATATTTTTAAAAAATAATAAAAAAGTGAATCATGTCGCTTTTTGCGACATAAGTGATAAAAATGGGCGGGATTAATTATAAAATATAAGGAGCTGGGATTTGACTTTTATTGTTCTAGAGTAAGGAATTAATTAATATTAGACTATTTAAATCTTCCTTACAGCTCCGCCCTTTGATAAGATCGTCCTCGATCTTAAAATGAAAAGAAAATAAAAAGAAATTTTAACTAAGGATTTTGGCATTTTTGGGCTTCCTCCTTCGACAACATCACTTAAGACCGTACCTGACTTTCCGTAATTTAACGGCCAAGTACATCAACTCATTTTGCGAACTGGGAGTGTAGGTAAACAGGAACGACTGGTGGGTGCTGCCCACTGACGTTCTGGCAGTCCTCCGCTCATTTCCTAATCGATATACCCTTTCAGTCCGCTCAGAATTGAAGGCCTTGGTCTTCATGTGTATGTACCCATGATTCATTCCCTTACTTTGCCAAATTGGAGAGATGATAGAGAATGAAGATTAAAAAAGATTAAAAGAGGTGGGAGAGCTGAATAGACATAAGGGTGAGTGAATTTTAAAGTAAATTATAATTTTTAGAACAACAAATCCCCCTATTTTAAAATTATTTAAAATTTAAATTTTTATTTTTTTCAAACCCCTTCGATGTCAAAACTTCTTTTCTTCACTTGTTCATTTTCTTACGCTTCTTTTCGATGGGCCAGCACCAAGTTGAGGGAATTCTTCGTTTTCATAAAAATAAGTGTTATAACGATGGTACCCTCCCCGACTTACATTGCGACTCCTTCTTCAGCGTAGTCCTTCCTGGTTGTGTTGCGCACCTTCAATTATAATGACGTCCAGGTAGTCTTGGCCAACTACAAAAGTTTTTTGTTTTGCTTTTGCCAAGAACTCTTTCCATCCTTTCTTTCATTCAAGAATGTGAAGATTGCCAATCAAAACCAATCCATGGCGGGCTCCTGAAAGGCTGACATTCACTCGGTCTGATCACACCAAAATGGTTCTTTTCCTTCGGCCAATTTTTCCTGAAATACAGAAATGGTTGTTACAACTACCTTTACGTCTGCCTCGTGGCCCTGAGTCGCGTCGGCGGTGGTGACCAAAACCCGTTAATTTAGTTCTTCGGCTTGCATGTCGTTAGCCTGCGTTCCATAAAGGCATATGCATCTGATTGACGAGTCAGATGGAAGAACGTTTCGAAGAGAAGTCCAAGTTTAACCTGGGTTGTATGAAGATATGGAGACTTGTCTCGTTTTGCCTAATCTACCTGGTGAATTAAAATTAAAGGACTACCTGCCTTTGGCAATTTGCGTTGACTCGCTGTCAGCGTATTCCTTTCTTTAGGTTGCCTCCCAGCAATGAGTCTTTCACCATGGGGACGGTAGAATCCAGCCTGCCTCGATGCAGCCTGCCTCGATGCACTGAACAATGTGTGGATGTGACCTGTAGCCGATTTGAAGTACTGTTTTGCCAATTCCATCAGAGGCATCCAAGTTGATGATCACACTGTCCAATCAAAAGCCAATTCGCACTGCCCACGGAAGAGACTCGAAATGAACCTTCAGTTGCCTCCGGTCACCCGTTATGAGCATCTTCTTCAGGCGCGGCATGTTGAACATCAAAGAGAGCACTTGGGAGTACGCAGCCTGCCCACTTTCATCCAAAATGACGTGTGTTGTGCTTGAAAATAAATTGGGAACCTGTTCGGCGAAGGACAAGTTTGCAAAGCAAATACTTCTCTCCATGTTTGCCTGGAGGATAATGGCCACGCTGGCTTCTGCCAATCTTGGGTTGCTTTCCACAGTTGATTGGTACTGCTTTACCTTCTTCTTCAGTTGGCTTGAGGGCTTTGATCAGTTCCTCCTCGTCCACTGCTTTAACTAATAGGAATGAAGTGCTGTTATGAGTCCAACCTCAGTTTACAAGTCCGATCAGATTTTTGTGTGCTACTAGGGCAGGTCGGAAGATAAGAAAAAGGAAAAAGGGATAGGTTTATATTACTTTTGTAGAACCCAGCGACCGTTGACTCCCTCTCTCGTCAAAAAGAAATTACTCAAGATTTATATGATTCATTTTAAATTCTGCCAGATTCTTTGACGAGAAATTACTCAAGATTTATATAATTTAGTTTAAATTCTACCAGATTCTTTGACAAGAAATTACTCAAGATTTATATGATTTAGTTTAAATTCTACCAGATTCTTATACAAGAAATTACTCAAGATTTATATGATTTAGTTTAAATTCTGCCAGATTCTTTGACGAGAAATTACTCAAGATTTATATGATTTAGTTTAAATTCTGCCAGATTCTTTGACGAGAAATTACTCAAGATTTATATGATTTAGTTTAAATTCTGCCAGATTCTTTGACGAGAAATTACTCAAGATTTATATGATTTAGTTTAAATTCTGCCAGATTCTTTGACGAGAAATTACTCAAAATTTATATGATTTAGTTTAGATTCTGCCAGATTCTTTGACGAGAGATTACTCAAGATTTATATGATTTAGTTATTGATGTGAACTCGATTTAAAAAGACTAGATATTATTATTCTGATATTCAAATTCTATTCGTATATTCTAGCTCCAAATAGACGTTAAAATTTCCAATAAATTCAGAAAATAAATATGAAGATCCAGCTTTCATCATAAGCTAAAGTATGATGAAAGAATTCGGCAAAACGAACGAAAAGAAGATTTTGAGGAGTAAAAGTCTGCAGGATTGTATTGCAAATTAAATTTTTTAATTCAAGAATTCGATTTGGAGATGGGCAAAACATTCGCTTCATGGTACGAGAAACAAATCATTCTTTGATAATGAATGTAATTCTTTAGACAAAAATATTAAAGTTCGATTATTAGTCGCCAAATTAGGGGGTGTGAGTATGCTAAGATATCACAGAAATTGATGCCCCAGAAATTAGATTCGGAGAGATTCATTTTCTCGTCCAAGAATTAGAAAACAAATTCAGTGACACTGGGTCCAAAATTGTGAAACGATTCGAGATCATGAAAATGAAATGTCCTAGTTTTGAAAAGATATTAGATTTCGGGATAATTGTTAATTCGGATGCGAAAAAGCCGAAATGGCGTTAACTGTTGAAGATTCTAAAATTCATATTTTCATGCAAAATTTTTGAGAATTTTGGGCCCCCCAGGCTACGCCCTTGCTTTATCGTTCGATAATCTCCCAATCCCCCGACATCCCTCATAATTCACTAAATCTCACGTTTATCCCTCTTAATCCATTGATATCACTCGATATCCCCTTAATCCACCCAAATCCTCTGAAAAAAATTTCATTGATATGTATTCCACCCGGATAAATTCACCAAAATTCTTTGAGTTTCGGATAGATTTTTCGAAATTATAGTTGATTGTGCTGAAGTTGACTGTGATTGTGTCAAAATAACAAAAAATAAACCAAAAATTTGACCTATGGGACCTAAAAATTGTCTTGAGTCTTGGAAAATTTTCAGTCTCGCACGTTTCTAGGCTTTACCGTCGTATAAAATTTTCCGTCGTTTAAGTGTAAAATAATTAAAAATCTAATATTTTGTTATTTCTTTCCATAACCTTTGCTTACATACTCTTCCTTTTCCTTCGAACTCATTTCTTCAGTTGTAGAACTGCTAGCATTTGTTTCCTTCGGTCCAAAAGAGGGAGGGGAAGGATTTGATGGAATACTGATGGTATCTTTCGAGCTAGTTATTGTTGGTGCTTCCCCGGTAAGTAATAGACGCTGTGGGCATTTACAATAGCTTTATAAGAATTTAATTATATTGTTGTGATTTATTTTATTTATAAATATTACCTCGCATCGGGACCAGGTTGTCCATTTTCCCCAAATTGTCCTCGCATTCCATCCCACCCTTTAATAAAACATTTTTAGATAATTTTCAATCTTTTGTAAATTTATTATAATCTACCAGGCTGTCCAGGTGGACCTTCTTGACCAGCTTCTCCCTTCATCCCTTGCAAGCCTGGCATTCCAGGACGGCCTTAAATTATTTTGAATTTTATTTCCTTATAAAATTCACCTGGAGCTCCGATATAACCCTTTGGCCCTGGCATTCCAGCCATTCCTGGCTCGCCTTGCCTTCCAGCTGTTCCTCTAACACCTTCCAATCCAGGAGGGCCAGGCATTCCTTCCTTGCCTGCCGTTCCCTGCTGACCCATCTCGCCAGGTGATCCAACTTTTTAATGATTAATTATATTTTTAGAATTAAAAAAATTAAAATTTTATTACTCTGTCCAGGATGGCCAGGCTTTCCAGCAAGTCCAGGCAATCCAGAACCGCCCTCAAATTAATTTATTATTTATTTAACCTTATATTATTTACTCACAGGAGCTCCAGGCGGGCCAGCAGGTCCAGGATATCCTCTTAGACCTGGGGGTCCTGGTGGGCAAACACCTGTTTAATTTGAGTGAAATTATTGGTAATTAGAAAATCTCGGACAGCTTTACTATACATATTTTACAACTTACGACAACTTTCTTCAACTGGCGCCTGTGTTTGTGCTGCTATTGCCTGTTCCCCCACAGGTCCAGGTTCGCCTGGTTTTCCATGTTCCCCATCAAGTCCCGCTTGGCCTGGGGGCCCAGGGGGACCTGGTGGGCACTGTGCTGTATTAATACAATCACAGCTAGGATTTGCAGCCAGTCGTTTTTTAATTCTTGCATCGGTAATTGAAGAAAATGAGAGGACAGAAAATCTTTTCTTTGTATTAACCAGTAAATCAGTCCAAAGATTTCCCTTTAAATTCAAAAATAATTTTTATTGGCAAATTAAAGATTTTTTGACAGATTTTTTAAAAATTTACTTGTAATGTTTTGAATTCATCCATTCCAGTATCCACTTCCCTTCGAATATTACTAATTTGTATTAACATTTGTTGTAGATAAAATGATGTTAAGTAAACCACAATAATTGAAGTGCTAATAGCTATAAAGCCTGTAACTCGGCCTTCTGTCAAACCCATACCCATTTTTCTATCTAAAAATATTCTTAGAAAATTTAGTTTTATTTCTCCAGTATTTTTTGAGTTTTGTACAGGTGAATTAGGATTTGAAAAAAGATCCAGATCCGAAAGAAGACCGGATATCCGGAAACTTTCGGTTCGGATACCGGATCCGGATATCCGAATATTTCCAAATATCTGACAACCTTACTGGTGAATTAGGAACACGTCGTATTTTTTAATAAATTTTCTGATCCAAAATGTCTGAAACTTTCTTCAAGTAAAAACTTTTTGATATTTTACTTTAATATAGTTAATGGTTTTTTGTTTGAAATTATTTTCAAAATTTTAAAAATAATATTTAAGAATAAAGCAACGAAATATATTTAAAATTCAAAATTTTCATAATTCTCGTAATTAAAATAATTTATTATGGCTATAGCTGTATTTCTTGTGTTGTTTAATATTTCCTCTATCTAAATTCCATAATAAGCTTACCATAAAAGATTTTTTGTCCGAATAACAAAAAAACATTCAAAAAACGATCACATAAAATAAAATTAAATATAAATTCTTGTTTTTCTCTAATAAAGATGCTATAACAGGTTTACATTTGGATTTATTTTGGAGAAGCTAACAAAACTTAATATCAAATTAATGGTTTGGAAAATGAGAAAACTAAAAGGAAAAAGCAATAAAAAAAAAGATTTTTTGGACAAACAGCAAATTTAGAAAATAACGGAATTATTAATTAATTAGCCAATTTGTAAACCTTTTAAATTTATAATTATTTTGTTGGCCTAACAAAATAATTTTTTAAAATTATTTTACTTTTTTATAAACCTCTATGCTTTGTTTAGTAAACAAAATATGTAATGTATATGTGATTGGATAAAATATTATACGAAAACTAGTTTTTAAATGTATTTCCAACAAAAAATTTTTTAATCATAGAATTATTTCCTTCTCAGTTATCAGGCCATAAAAGATTTTAATTTTACTCCTTAATGTTACAACATTTATACTATCAACTATAAATAAGCGTTATGATCATAACTGATCATAACATTCAAGCTGTACAGGGTGCGCCATAAGTAATTGCACACTTGTTTTCTCTCATAACTTTATTAAAACACAATCAAATAAAATCGAAATACAATCAAATGATAGAGAATTAAATAAGGAACAAAAATAATCAAGAAGATACTGTGTGCCCACCCTTGGCTTTGATACAGAGGCGAAGGCGCGAAGAAAAATTTTCGCATATAGCACGCACCTCTTTGAGTGTAATTAAGTGCCACTCCCGGCTGAGAGAATGGCGCAGAGACTCCAAACTTTTTTGAGGCTTAGCACAGACCCTGGACTCCAAAATAGACCAAAAAGAATTATCCATTGGGTTTAGATTCGGGGAGTAGGACGGCCATTCCTGAGCGCTAATGAACCCAGGAAAATTGGCCTTGCACCAGTCCTGAACTTCTTTCGTCTTGTGTGCCGGAGCAGAGTCCTGTTGGAAAATCCAGACTATGCGACCGAAATGGCTCTTGAACCGAGGCTTCAGAACATATACACACTAGAATAACAATAAAATTAAGAGTTGTTAATACAAAATTTAAAAAGAAAGAGAACTCGAAATAAACTAATAAATTTAAAACAAAAATTTTCTATTTAGAAAATGTTTACTATGCCTGACAAAAATACCCCTATTCAAATATTATCTTCAATTTGTTTTGCTTTTACAATAGGAGCTTTAATGATAAGTTTAAATTTATTTTTTGATTTGGAAAAGATGGATGCTGAATTAAAACAAGAGAAAATAGAATTTAAAGTTTCTTAAACTAAAAAAAGATTTTTTATTTTCTTATTTTAGTTAATAACTGATAAATCTTGGGAATTACTTTTGGATCCAAAATTTCAAAGAAATAAACGGCAAACATTTTATGGGGGTGCTACTGATCCAAATTGTCGTAAGTTTTTATGTACCTATACTGAAATTTTATTAGACCCTCGTTATAACACCCCTTCAAATGTCGATTCAGAAGGCCGAAACACATTAATATAACCCTTCTGATACTATATTATTTTTTAAAAGTTCAGATTGTGCTCCAAGTGCTCAAAACTGCCCTAAAGGACCTCCTGGTCCTGATGGAGAAAAAGGCGAACCAGGAAGTAAAGGGAATTTAATTTAGATTCTGATAGCTTCTGTTGAAGTCTATCAGAAGAGAAAAAAAAATTTCCCATAATCTCAAAATTTGCAGTTCCGGGCCAAAACGGACCACCTGGCAAGCCAGGCGAAAAAGGAGGTATTTTTATTTTTGAAAAGGTTAAACCACCATGTGTGAAGTGCCCAGCTGGAGAACCTGGTCCAAAAGGAAGACCAGGAATACAAGGTTTATTGAATAGATTACTTAGTAAATATTTAAACATTTACAGGTCCCCCTGGTCCGGACGGAAAAATGGGTGAGAATGGGAGACAGGGAAATGATGGAGTTCCTGGAAATGATGGACCGCCCGGTGAAAGTGGTCCCCCAGGTAATTAAAAATATTCAAAATCAGCTATTTATTTCCTTTTCAGGCCCTCCTGGTATAAATGGAGAATCTGGTCTTGGCGGAGGAAAGATCATAAAATAGTAAAAAATATCTAAATTTCATTTTCATGTATATCTCCCTTCAATTCAGCATTAACACTCCTGGCCCGAAAGGATCGCCGGGACCTATTGGCCCACCGGGTGATCAAGGCCTGCCAGGATTAGACGGTCAACCTGGAAGTGATGGTCTTCCCGGTTTAGTAGGACAACCAGGCCCAGCAGGAGATAATGGCGAGCCAGGAATCCCTGGAAAGGTGAGAAACTTTTTTAAATATAAATTTAATTTTATGTTTACAGCCCGGAAAACCTGGGAGAGAGGGAGCAGAGAAGAACTATTGTCCATGCCCCCTGCGATCACTTCCCGTGCCTTCAGCTGCAGGACTTTATCAAATAAATAATAAAAACAGAAGAGGTCTTAAAGAAGGCAATGTACGGATAAAATCCTGATTTTTAATATAAATTTTTTTGATTTCAATCGCTAATATTATTAACATTTAAAATGGAGAAAGAACTTTTAATTTGACACTCACTTTAAAATATTAGCTTTTTAAACATATATTCAAATTCACTAAAAATTTTATAGTTATACATATTTAAATTTTCGTGATAGAATAGAATTTTAAATTATGAGAAAATATCAATGATAGGAATGAATTTTACTTAGCAAAAGTACTCTTGGAAACAAAACGTTTTTGTAATTCAATTTATTTTACTTCAAAAATTAACCAAAATTATATTTTTATATCTCTTCACAATCCCCAGGCTCCTCGTTCAGATCAAACCGATACTTTTTATTTAAATCTATCCCATTAACTGGGAGATTCAAATCTACGTCTCCAAATAAATTTTCTTCTTCCTTATTATTCTTCTCAGCCCCTTCCAGTTGGTCACCCTCTTCCTCATGAGGTGCCCCTCCCAATTGAAGACTCTCTTCCTCACAAGACTCTTTTCCTTTACCTTCACAATTATCATTCTGTGGATGATCATTGGAAGTTCCTTCATGATTAACCGATTGAATTGTTAATTCTTTCTGAGGAATTTCTTTTTCGTTTTTCCTTTTCTGATAATAATTTCTCATATTTTCCTTCAACTTATCCTTATTTTTAATATACTTCTTTCGATCATATTCTCGCTTCTTTTCTTTGTTCTTTTGATAATATTTGTTTGCATATTCTCGCCTCTTTACTTCATTCTTTTTATAATAAGTCCGATTATTTTCATTAATCTTATCCTTATTTTTACGGTAGTATTTTCGATCGGATTCAGCTTTTCTTAATTTTCTTTCCAATTCATTTCCATTTATATCCTTTTTTGTATTTTTATCAATTTTACACTTAGGTTTTAACATTTCTTTATATTTCTGACTTTGAGGATTAACAGATGATTCGGCCATTTCATTTAATTTCTCTGGTACTTTACTCATAGAACTAGTCCCTTCATTTAAATTTTTATCATTTTCCCCGCAACTTATTAAACTCCAAAATATTGTATTGAATAACAAAAAGATTATAATAAGAAAAAGTTTCATCTAAACTTAAATATATTATTTAATTGAAAATAGATAACGAGAACAACAACCTAAACAAATGCATAAATAATAAAGACGTCCTGTGCGGAAAATAGAGTGGCACAATACCTCGCTGACTCAATTTGAGGAGGGACAGGAGAGATTCAACCAGAACGAATCAACTCCTTAGTTTGAACGGGCAACGGAGATCTCCAATCTCCAGAAACCAAATTCCTTAGTAAAACACACAAAACACAGAAACACAATAAAAATGTTTATTTAGTTAAAATAAGATTATAAAAGAAGTGCCTCGGGGGAATATAAGCCGAGCACAAGTTTGGGCTGCCGGTCAACAAAGCAGGCCCTTGTGGTCTCAAAAGATTAAAATATGGGCAAGTCAAAAGTTGGTAATAATTGATTGGCAGAGCTCAGGGAGCGCTGGCAATAAAAGGGTAAGCAAGTAAAAGCTGGAAACAATTCAAAAGCAAGTAATGGAAAAAACAACAAGTGATGGACAAAACAAGTGGTAGTAAGCAAGTAAGAAGCAAGTAACTGAATAAGAGCAAGTGATTAAAAAGAATAGGCCAAAACATTAAATAGGGGTAAAAAATGGGCGTAAACAAATATATTTTAAGAGAGCAAAGAAAAGTGTGAAAAATTGTGTTTTGAGCGGGGAAATAAATAAAGTTAAAAATTAATTATTAAAATGAAATGGATTTTAAGTGCCCTTTGGGCACATTCCCCGCCCAACAAAAAGGAATATATCTAACGAGGTGGAAGACGAGAAAATGCGGTACGGATGGATTTAACAAGACGGGCGGTTGCCCCCTCAATTGCAAGCAAGTCTTGCGTATATTCTTCTCCTCTGCCCTCACGATTTTCTTCTTCAATTTCATTCAAGGCTGTCGAGGCGGCTGTAGCAATTTGAT